TATAAAAGAACACCAGGTTTCGCAACACGGACTTTCAACAAAAAGCGTGCGCGCGCACTCTTGCGTCGTCGTCGTCGTCGTCGTTCTCCCTCCTCCCTCGTCGTCGTCGTCGGCATCGCCGTCGTCGTCCTCTGTCTTTCCTCGTCGTCGCCGTCGTCTTGACGTCGTCGTCGTTTCCGTCGTCGTTGTCGCCGTGGTCGTCCTTCCGCCCTCGCCATCTTCGCCGGCGATTCGTCGTTGTCCTTCCTATTTCGTCGTCGTCGTCGTCTTCCCTCCTCCCTCGTCGTTGTCGTCGTCGGCGACGACGTCCTCCCTCCTTCTTCGTCGTTCGCGTCGTCGCCATCCTCCCTCCTCCCTCGTCCTCGTCGTCGTCGTCGTCGGCGTCGTCGTCGTCGTCGGAGTCGTCGTCGTCGTCGTCGTCGCTGTCATCGTCGTTGTTGGCGTCGTCGTCGTCGTCGGTGTCGTCGTCGTCGTCGTCGCCGGAATCGTTTGAGACGTCGTCGGTGTCGTCGTAGTCGTTGTCGACGGCGGCGTCGTCGTCGTTGTCGCTGTCGTCGTCGGTGTCGTTGCCAAGTGCCATGTGGTACCCACCGTCACGGTCTTGAGAGGTTTTGCAAACCAAATTGCGGGTGGGTGGGTGGGATGTTTGCGCGAGCAGTGGAGTGGACAACTCACTGCGAACAGAAATTACAGTCGGGGCCTTGACCTAAGGAACCCAAAATAAGGAACGAGGCCCCTTTTTTTTCCAGAAGTTACACTTCGATTTCCCATCGAAAATATTAAGAACACCTGAGGCAAGCTGCGAAAGACTTAAGGAACGCGGAGCCCTTCCCCAACGAAAAGGGTTCCTTCTTCAGGGCCCCAACTGTAATTGCGCCACTTAGATTCTCCTTTCTAATAGAAGAATCGACTCTGCCCCCTCCCCCCCCCGGAGTTAACGATCCACCTTTTCGTATTGCAATTTACATATGGTTCTGCCCAATCGTCCATCCAAAATATAAATTCCTTCGATCTCCGCCAATCCGGGACCACTCCCCCTCACCATCCTCTGCAAAACATACTATGCGCGCGCTCTCCTTTATCAATTATCATACGTTTCAATGAACCCCTTGCAAAAAGGGGACGAAGAGCACACGCGCGCGTCGCGTGCGCATGCCGAACTCCTTCAAAAACCTTCGGTGTCGGAGAGATTTCGAAATCGAGTTTCCAAAAAACACACAACAACACAAGTTTTCGCAACAATGATTTTCTACAAAAGCTTACGCGCCCGCTCTTGCGAAATCAGAAGAAAAACACAGGTGTTTCAAATCTTTTAAGAAATACTACCAAATTGCTTCGCGCGCGCGTGTCAAAATCTTTCGAACGCCCTTGCGCCCGTGCCGTCGCGAGAAACGTCTGCAACAAAAAAGACGCAGTGCAGACGCGCGCGTCGTCGCGCGCGCATGCCGAAATCGTTCAAAAACCTTCGGTGCGGGAAGGGTTTCAAAACCGTGTGTCCCAAAAACATACAAGAACACAAGGTTTCGCAACACGGATTTTCAACAAAACCGTGCGCGCGCGCTCTTGCGTCGTCGTCGTCGTCGCCGTCCTCCCTCCTCCCTCGTCGTCGTCGCCGTCGTCGTCTTCTGTCTTTCCTCGTCGTCGTCGTCGTCTTGGCGTCGTCGTCGTTTCCGTCGTCTTTGTCGGCGTGGTCGTCCTTCCTCTTCACTAGACGTCGTCGTTTCCGTCGTCGGCGTCTCGTCGTCGTCGTCTTCCCTCCTCCCTCGTCGTTGTCGTCGTCGGCGACGACGTCCTCCCTCCTTCTTCGTCGTTCGCGTCGTCGCCGTCCTCCCTCCTCGCTCGTCGTTGTCGTCGTTGTCGCCGTCGTCGTCCTCCCTCCTCCCTCGTCGTCGTCGTCTTCGTTGGCGGCGGCGTCGTCGTCGTCTTCGTCGTCGTCGTCGGCGTCGTCGTCGGCGTCGTCGGCGTCGTCGTCGTCGGCGTCGTCGTCGTCGTCGGCGTCGTCGTCGTCGTCGGTGTCGTCGTCGTCGTGGTCGAACTCGTTGGAGACGTCGTCGGTGTCGTCGTAGTCGGTGTCGGCGGCGTCGTCGTCGTTGTCGCTGTCGTCGTCGGCGTCGGTGTCGTTGCCAAATGCCATTTGGTTCCTAGCGTCACGGTCTTAAGAGGTCTTGCGACCAAGTTGCGGGTGGGAGCGTGGGATGTTTGCACGAGCAGTGGAGGGGACAGCTTCAAGACAGTCAAAGTTAATTGCGCAACATAGGTTCCACAATATGGGTTGTACAACCTAGATCGCACCATCTTGCTTGCACCACAAAGATTGCACAACATGTGTTTCACCACGTCGATTGCAATGCATGTTTCCATCTCTTACAACAAAAAAAAACGGGTTTTCGCGCCCCCCCCTGAGATAGCACAGTTTACATAAGATGCTGCCCCATCGTTTATCTTAAACGGGGCGTTACAAAAAGTGCCTTGCCTTCGAGAATCGAAGGAGTTGACATCTCTCCCGCCGCGGAAGGCGGCGGAAGGGCGGTGGAAGGTCGGCGGAAATAAAACGAAGCCGCCTCCGCTGGCGGAAACCGGCGGAAGGGCGGCGGAAGGTGGCGGATGCCACAATGCGCCCCCAAGAGATAAACATGTTTTTGGGCTCAAGGCTTACGAAATCCGCCACATATGAACCCATACTGCCCTATTTTAGCCGGGCCAGCATCGACCCCCGCCCCTCATCCTCGTCAAATCCGCCTCCACGGAGTGGGCGTGTCCTCTGGTCCCTTGCTGTCGTTCTCGGCCCTCTGGATCAAGGATCCGTGAGGGGCCGGATCCCCGCAAGCCCAATCTCAGGATGTCTGGGGCGGCCTGTCGCGCGACGTCTTCTGGCCCCAGAGGGCCCGCAGACGGGCCAAGAGGGCTCCGAGAGGCTCCCCAAACGGTCAAGAGGGCCCCGGGTCGCCGAGCGATCGGTCCGGGACGCCCAAGATGGCCTTCAGACTGCCCAAGGGGGTTCCACGCCGCCCCCTGAGGCCTCCGAGGGGCCTCCCAATGGCCGACAATTTTCTTGACGTTCCCACGCTTCGAGTGCACCCGCGTAGATTATCCGATCTTGGAACAGTAGGATCTACCACCTTCCCCCCCGGACTTATACGAACATCCGCTGCCAAGGGAATCGATATGCTATGGCCCTAGGCGGGAGATGGAGTTGGAGATGGACATGCGGTCCCCAAGCAACCCGAACCCATCTGTGCCCAGCGCCGCCCAAAGCCCAGGACGACCGGATCGCCAAGCGGTGGTTAATGCGCACAGACCCCAGCCCCCGATAGGCCTTCCATCTCTTTTTTACGACGACATGGGAGCAATGAACAAGACTTCGCAAACTGGATTTGCTGTACATGGCTATACCACGCGTTGAACATGGTGTGCAATCTGCGCTCGTCGCTGCGGGGCGTACCCGCCTCTTGCCTACTGGCCAGCGCCGGCACGGTGCCGCACTCGAGCGCTCGAGCGCAGGCAATGCGTGTCCCGCACCGCTCCGGGGCCTCGCAGCCACGACCAGGGCGCAGCCCGCCAAAGGTCGCCCACACGCCAGGAGTGACCGCGGGTGCGCGGCGTCCGGGGACCGCGGGGGCAAGGCAAACCCAAGCGCGCAAGCCAGTGCAGGAGGGGCCCCTGTGGGATCGCACAGGAAGGTCGTTCCGGCGAAGGGTCACTCGCACGCGTCGCACAACGAGGAGCCAGGACGGACCCTCAGATAGGTCCGATAAGAAATTGGGAGCGAGTCTCGGCCTGGGCTCTGCCGGCCAGGGAGCCGGGGGCGGGGTTCGAACGGACGCTCTCACGCGCGCAAAGGGGCGCGCGAGGACGGCGCTGGACATTCGCACGATGGCTGCGGGAGACGGCGTAGGGGCGAGAAAGAAGCAGGAGGGGTGACGAGGGAGCTTGACCCGTGGGTGGATATTTCTCCGCAGCGAGCGAAGGGGGGAAAAGTGATGGAGAAGGCCTTCTCCGAAGGCGGCGGGGCTTCTCAGAAGGTCTCCGGCCTTCTGGAAGGCTTTCTGTGCCTTCGGGGAAGGCTTGGAACACTTCTCGAAAACCTGGCCGCGAGACTCCAAGGAAATTGCCTCAACTGGTGCACTGGAGTCGCACTCCCGGAGGGAAACGCGGAGGAGGAGGACGACGACGAGGAGGAGGAGGAGGGAGGAGGAGGAGGAGAAAAAGGAGGAGGAGGAGGAGGAGGAGGGAGGAGAAGGATGAGGAAGAGGAGGAGGAGGAGGAGGAGGAGGCGGAGGTGGAGGAAAAGGAGGAGGACGAGGAGGGAGGAGAAGGAGGAGGAGAAGGAACAGGATTAGGAAAGAAGTAGACGAGGATGAGAACGAGGACGACGAGGATACGGTCAGGACATTGTACTGAGCGTGTCGCGGCGGTGGCCCCGGCGACACGCGATGGCCTGCAAGCGGATAGCATGTCGCTCCGCGGAGCGGGAGTCCGGGAAAGACTCGGACCGTTGACGACCTGGGCAGTGGCCAGCATGCCTCGCCGAGGTGTGGCGGGCCAGAATCGGCGGCGCGACAGGCTGAGCACAAAATCCCGACCGAAACGAGGATGAGGACAAGGAGACCGAGGACGGAGATGGGGATGATGCGACGGAGTCAGAGGGATGATGCGCGGGGCGCCGTAGTCACCCTCGTCATCCTCTCTCCTCCTCCTCCCTCTTCCTCCTCCTCCTCCTCCTCCTCCTCCTCCTCCTCCTCCTCCTACCCCTACCCCCTTCCTCCTTCCTCCCTCCACCCTCCTCTTTCCTTGTCGTCCTGTCTCCTCCTCCTCCTCCTCCTCCTCCTCCTCCTCATCATCCTCCTCCTCCTCCCCCTCCCTTTTTGTCCGCCTCCCTCCTCCTCGTCGTCTTCCTCTTCCGCCCCCGTCCCTCCTCCCTCCCTCCTCCTCCGCGTCGTCCTCTCCCTCCCCCCCTCCTCCCTCCTCCTCGCTCGGCGGAAGGGGGCGCGGCGCGGAAC